CCCCAATAAAAATCTTAAAAAAAAAACAAACCAAAAAACAACAAAAAAAAAACCTTCCAACAAAGAAAATCCCAGGACAGATGGCTTCATGGATGAATTCTTCCAAACATCTGACAAAGAATTAATGCCAAACCTTCTCAAACTCCTCCAAAGTTGAAGAGGAGGGAACACATCCAAACTCATTTTACAAGGCCAGCATTATCCTCACATTAAAGCCAGATAAGGACTCTATAAGAAAAGAAATTATAGGCCATATGCATCATGGATATAGATGCAAAAATCCTTAACAAAATACTAGCAAGCTAAATTCGACAGCATATTAAAGGGATCATACACCATAATGAAGTGGGATTTATCCTTGGGATGCAAGGATGGTTCAACATATGCAATTTAATCAATGTGACTCAACACATTAACTGAATGAAGCCTAAGGATCATATCATCCCAATAGATGCAGAAAAGCATTTGATAAAATTCAACATCCTTTCATCATAACAACAAAAAAAGAAAAACCTCAGCAAATTAGGTGTAGAGGAACGTAACATAATAAAGGCCATATATGAAAAGCCTACAGCTAACATTGTATTCAATGGTAAAAAGTTTCCTCTAAGATTAGGAACAAGACAAGACAAGGGTGCCTACTTCTATTCAACATAGTCCTGGAAGCCCTAACCAGGTCAATTAGGCAAGAGAAAGAAATAAAAGGAATCCAAGTTAGAAAAAAAGGAATTGTCTCTCTTTGCAAATAGCATTGTCTTATATATAGGAGACCCTAAAGATACTACCAAAAAATTGTAGAAACTAATCAACGAATTTAGTAAAATTGCAGGATACTAAATCAACATCTATAAATCAGTTGTATTTCTATACTAACAACAAACTATCTGAAAAATAAATTAAAAAACCCAATCGCATTCACAATGGCATCAAAAACAATAAAATACTTAGGAATGAGTTAAACAAAGGAGGTGAAAGAGATGTACATAAAAAATTATAAGACATTGATGAAAGAAATTGAAGAAGACACAGATGGAAAGATATTCTGTGTTCATGTGCTGGAAGAATTAATATTGTTAAAATCTCCATACTAAAAGTGATCTACAGATTCAGTGCAATCCCTATCAAAATGCCAATGGCATTTTTCACATAAATAGAAAAAACAGTCCTAAATTTATAATGGAACCACAAAAGACCCAAATAGCCAAACCAATCTGAGAAAAAAGAACAAAGCTAGAGTCATCCCACTTTCTGATTTCAAATTATATTACAAAGCTATAGTACTCTCAACTGACCCATGTTCAATATGGCTGATTCTTTTGCCTGCTCAAATCTACTTAGCCTCTCTCAGCATTTTTTTATTTTTTTGTCATTTCAGTTATTGGATTTTTTTTAAATTCCAAGATTTTTATGTGTTTCTTTTTTATAATTTTATAATTTCAATCTAGTGACATTCTCTATTTGGGACACCATTCTCATACTTTATCATCACTCTTATATTTTAGTTCATTAGACATGATTTTCTTTGGTTTCTGAAATATTTCAAATAGCTGATTTAAAGCCTTTGTTTACTAAGTCTGATGTCTGGGCTTCCTCATAGAAAGGTAAGGAATGGAAAAGAAACTCACCCGTTTGCTTCTCCACGTTTGGCTCCCCTTAGCAATGTGCTTGCTTGTTTATTCTCCAGATCTTTAGACGGATGTTTTTCATATTTTGTCCAAAGCTTGTCTGTTTAAAAGTTGGTCTTTAGAAGGCTTAGACTATCATCCTATAAGTGGAAGCCACAGGGTAGTTTTAAACAAATCTTATTATCGGCTTGTTTTTGAAAAATTGGCTCCTCTCTTTTCTAAGTGGAAAGATTTTATAACCTGAAACAGACCTGTATTCTAAGCCCAGTAATGTCATGTTTTACTGTGTGACCTTAAGTGAATTATTTACCTTTATCGAATGTCAGTTTCCTTGTCCTGAAAAGGGAGGAAATGATAATAAGGCATTTGATGCAAGAATTAAAGGGGAGCGCGCCGATAAAGTGCCTCAGACAATATCTGGCACATGACCGGGGCTTTGTAAATGTCAGCCCACTTCTCTTTGTGTAGCTGTAAAAGCTTTGGAAAGGAATTGAACTAGCTGGTGATTCTTTGGCTGCTGCACTTGAAGGCAGTAAAACTGACATCTGAATTATCTGGGTTGATAAGATTATGTAGATCACTGCTAAATCTCCCTGCCACTTTGTAGTGGGGAGACCGAGACGCCTAACTCCCAAACATAATCTTCCAAAAAGAATCCTTACAGAGCAACTCTGAAAGACTCTTTGTGTGGGCAAACAATACCCAGAGTGTGCCTTCTAGATAGACAATATGGTAAAGCAGCCCATTAATCTGCCCAAATCCTATTTCATGTCTTCCGGGCCTTGCAGAGGGGAGATGGGTGGAAACAAATGATCCACTGAAAATCATAGGCTGACCTCCAACTCAGACCTCTACCTGGGTGAGTAAATTTGGATGAAGAACAAGTGCTTTAGCCCCAGCCAAAGGTGGTTTCCTGTTCCCTGACTGAGGCTGGCTGCCGCTCAGTTATGAATTCTGCTAGTGAGACCGCCACTGGAAAAGACGTTAAAAGTGCTCCCCCAGTCAGGATTTAATTAATAGTCACACAGGAACCAACTTCCTCCCACTTCGGGGAAGGGAGGAGTTTGGCAGCTGGCCGTTCCCAGGCTGCCAGCGCTCAGCCCTTTGAGGACCTGGGCCATGTACCTGTGCCAGGAGGCTGGCAGCTGAGGGTCAGATCCAGGGCCTCAAGAAATCTTGGCCACAAATGAACTTGCTTCTTGTTATTTTCTGAAAAGCTTCAAACTCATAAAACTCTTCTTTTACACTTCAAATGTCCTTCGCTGTTACCAGAGCATCTGTGGCCTTCATCACTATCCTGTTGTTTTTCTCTTGGTTGTCATTTTTGTATTTCAACAGTTTGTTGAGTATTACAATGTGCCAGGCGTTCCCGCTTTGTGCACAATACTTATTGAACATTTAAACAGTTCTAGTTACCATAGTTACTCCCAACGAGGTCAGTCATGGATAAATGAATGACACATTGGTTAGGGTCTGCCTGGGGTTGAGACGAGCAGTCAATTTTCAGGCACCTGTGGTTTTCTGTGCTTGCAGGTGAAGTGGGTGCTGGCAGCAAGAACGTGACCTTGCAAAAAGAAATGCACGCGCTGGCTTTGGGAGTAAAGTCACACCATAGACTGGTGTGTAAGACAATGAGTAAGGGTTCCAGTGACTGTAGCTTCTCCTGCAACCATGCCCCTTTCCTGCTTAGCCTGTAGGGCCGTCATTTTGTGTTTGTCTCTGAGAGAGCTTGGTTAATGTCTGTCCTCATCCACAAATCATTAAGCTCAATGCGGGCAGAGCCCTGTCTGTGTCTCCTCAGCCTTGTCGTATCCAGCACAAGTGGTACAAACTTTGTTGAATAAATGATTAAATGCCCATTCCTGATTGAAGAAATTAAGGCTCGGGGCCGGCTGAGTGGTGCGATGGTTAAGAACTGGCTTGGGATGCCAGAGGGCCCCAGTTAGGATCCCACATATGAAGGCCAGTGACACTGCCCTCCACAGCTAAGATGCTGAACAACAGCTCAACCCGGAGCTGGGCTGCTGTGAGTCGCCGGCGAAGGTTGCAACCCCTGCTGCAGTGGGTTGCCATGGGCTACCGTGTGTAGCCAGCAGCCAGTGTGAGCGGCCAGCAGCCGCCGTGAATGGCTGTCCAGAAACCGGTGACTGATCTGCCTCACCCAGGAAGAGCGCAATGATGGTGCCAACTTGGGCCAGTGAAGCAACGTCCTCCACAACTAGACTGAAGAACAAAACGACAGCAACTTGTCTGTTTCCCTCACCCCAATTCCCCAGCTCTGTTCCCATCCCCCTAATTCCCCAATTAAAAAAAAAATTAAGGCCGCTGAGCTGCCAACAGGTAGCAGGATGGCTCAGCTAAAAAAAAAAAAAAATTAAGGCTCAAAGAAATGAGGTGACATTGTCGCTGACCAGAGGAGTCTTTTGGGGAAACTCAGGATATGACTTTGGTGTTTGTGTGGATGCAAATTCCTTGCTCTTAATCAACACATAGTGTCTCCATGAATGCTAATGTCATCATAGGAAATGTCTGTGAGCCGTGATTCACATGCAACATCAGGGGAGTTAATAATAATTTCACGTGTTGTTTTAAGATTCAGATAAATACAGAAATTCAGATTAATATGTGGGAAATACAAAGCCTATCTCTTGCACAAGGCGATGTGCATTAATGTTAGTTATTATACCATTATCACACCATCATTGCCTCTCCTTGCCCTTCGCACTCCTATTGCTAGTAGTCCTTGCGAACTCGAGCATCTCATTACATTGCTAGTCTTGATTTTCAAAGTAAGGAACATTTTATGAAAATAAGCAGAACATTTAAATCTCATCAGGTGACTTTTAAAACATAAATCAAGGGCCGGCCGAGTGGCTCAGTTGATTAAGAGCTTGCTCAAGAGTTTGAGCTCTGAGCAACAGGGTCCCCGGTTTGATTCACGGCCCGAGCTGAGCTGCCGCTGAGCTGCCAACAGGTGGCAGGATGGCTCAGCTAAAAAAAAAAAACAAACAAACTAAAACAACCCTGTTTCATAGAATCCATAGGATATTAACACTGTGCCCAGATAACTTCCCCCAAGTATATCTATTTTTCTTTTAATGTGTGGGGTAGAAAAAAGGGAGTAAGATAAAATTAGTTCTTCCTTCATCCTTTCCAACTTCAACGTTGTCATATGTATACTCTGTCCCCCTAGGATGGGGGTGGCTATAAATGCAGGAGTAGCTGCTCTTACTAAACTCTGAAAGAGTAGGTTGAATAAGTAAGGTATAATACCCCCATTCTCCAAATTATTTTACAACTAGAGCTCAGAACTTTGATAAGGCCTCTCACCCTACTCTTAGGAGTGAGACTATTTCTACTGGCTAACAGGTACTTATCCTTCAGTGATATCACAACAAAAATGAAGGACTGGCTTCCAATCTAGTTTATTTCTTCATATGACCCAGTCAGAGGCAGGAGGATTTAATTATCATTGTTTCAATTGTTCTATGTTTTGATTTTTTGTTTTGTTTCCTTTTGTTTTAACACAACAAGCAAAATCAATCAAACTACTCTTTTAACTGGGCACATATGGCCATTTTAAACTTAAAACAAATGCTAACATTAAGTCTACCCTTTTCATTTCAATCATCAAATTAATAATCACAAAAAGGAACTTGAGAGACCATCTCACACAGTGCTGTTTTTCTGGCCCCAGTTCTGTTTCATTAGATAATTCTGTATTGAAAGTTCTATTTAATCTTCTGAATCTCTAACTAGATTATAAGATTGAAAAGGCAGAGGCTGTGTCTGTCTGTTCTCCGTGTATTACCCATTCATAGGTGATGGGGACACTGTACTAAACAAGACAAAAAAACCCCCCAAAAAACCCCACTGCCCTCATGGACCTTAATTCTAATTGTATCTTTAGTACCAAGGACAAGGTGAAAGTTACCATTCTGTGGTTACTCAGTGAGTGAAACAGCAAATGGATGAATAAAGTGGCCCCTTCTATAATCCACATTTGTTTGGGGAGCTGTGTTGTGCCAAGTAAATAACCCAGTGGGGTGTGAACAGTACAGGAAGAATTGACACTACACAGAAAAATTCCTGTGCGACCAGAGGTGTGAATGTAGACAGTCCTCATTTCCAGCATATTCTTTTTATTTCAAGAGCTTTCTTGAGATATAATTTACCTGCCATAAAACCCACCCATTTAAAGTGTTTTTTTTCCATTTACAGAGTTTTGCGACTTTCAGCATCCTTTTTTTTTTTTTTAAAGATTTTTATTGGGGAATTGGGGGGATGGGAACAGCGCTGGGGAATTAGGGGAAGGGTCACTGGCCCTCATATGTGGGATCCGAACCGGGGCCCTCTGGCATCCCAAGCCAGTTCTTAACCATCGCGCCACTCGGCCGGCCCTCAGCATCCTTCTTAATTCATGCTCCAGGGCAGAGCAGTAGCTCAGTTCCCAGAAGATTCCAGACTTTTGGAAAGGGAATGGGTCAGATAGTTTAAAAAAAAATCAGTACTTTCATGAGGTCACCTTTGTCTTATATAGAGGAAGTATGAGAGCATTTTTATGCGTATGGTACCAGAGCATTTCTTTTAGGGGAGGAGAATCTAAGTTAATATTATAAATATCATAGGAACTCAGCAATGTTTCTTATTAAGTTTCGTTTTGAAACTTACAATTCGTTAAAGTTGTCCTTAAACTCAATAAAATTGTTTGCCTGTCAAGTAAAAAGTTGTAAGTATTGTATCAGACAGTGAAAGGTGTACTTACATGAAAATCATTAAAACTGACTTTATACCTGGACTTACCATTAATTCAATAGGTAATTTTAGGAAAGCCCCCCAGATGTTTGGGTCTCAGTTTCTACAGTTAAGACAGAGAATAAAATGATAACTAGCTTCTCTTCCAGTTCTTAACCTCAGTAAGTTAATTTGCAATGGGCCATTTTCTCCTTAATGCTATAATTTTGCAATTTTATTATTTTAGAAGGGGAAAAAAAACATGTCTGCAGTCCACATGACCCTGATTTGCATATGTGATATTGAGAATAATACAGACTAAAAAACAAGCATTATCAAATGTTGACTGGTGTGATTGTAAAAGTAAGGAATAAAACAAATCTTAGGACTGTATGACCTTGGACCATTGCCTAATTGTTGTATGGATAAGCATCCCATATTTTCAAGTATCAATCCCTTTGGGTCAGAAACAAAATCTGTTTCTATGCTTGGATCTCACATTACAGTTGATGCTCAATAAATGCTTGTTGAAAGAATGAATATATTTTAGATAGCAAAAATGTAGAAAAAAATGTTAGTTTAGGCATACAAAACTACAGAAGGGTGAGTGTGACTTTGTATGTCAGAGGGATTTTAGCATGAAAATAAATACTAACTTGCAAGAAAATGTGAAACTTTTGCCCCTCAGCAGACCCATTTGCAAGTAATAAAAGCCCTGGATATCATAAGAAAGGAAGAAATTTACTGAATACAATAATAATTATCCCTGTATTGGTTTAGGACTATGCAGGTAATAAATAGACATGTTCATTTTATTTCTTTATTTTTAATTAAATTTCTTTCAATTACAGTTGACATATAATATTTATTAGTTTCACATGTACAACATAGTGATTAGACATTTATATACCTTACAAAGTGATCACCTTGGTAAGATCACCCATCTCTCATGATGCATATTTAGTACAATATTATTTACTATATTCTCTATGCTGTACTTTACACCCCAGTGACTATTTTCATAACTGGCAATTTGTACTTCCTAATCTCTTTCAACCTTTTTCACCCATTCCCCCAAATCCCCTCCTCTGTGGCAGCCACCAATTTGTTCTCTATCTCTGAGTTTGTTTCTGTTTTGTTTGTTTTATTTTATTGTGTAGATACTACATATAAGTGAAATCATATGGTATTTGTCTTTCTCTGTCTGACTTAGTTCGCTAAGCATTATACCCTTTAGGTCCGTCCATGTTTGAGTCCTTCCTTGATCTCACTGTTGACTCATTCATTGTTTATTAGCATGTTATTTAGCCTCCACGTGTTTGTTTTTCAATTTTTTTTCTTGTAATTGCTTTCTAGTTTCATACCATTGTAACTGGTGAAGATGCTTGTTTTAATTTCAATCCTCTTAAATTTACTGAGACTTGTTGTGTGGCCTAACATGAGGTCCATCCTGGAAAATGTTCCATGTGCTCTTGAAAAGAATGTATATTCTGGGGCTGGCCAAGTGGCTCAGCTGGTTAGGAGCTGGGTTGGGATGCCAGCTCTGAGCAGCAGGGCCCTGGTTCGGATCCCACATTAGGACCAGTGACGCTGTGCCCTCTACAGCTAAGATGGTGAACAACAGCTCGTCCTGGAGCTGGGCTGCTGTGAGTTGCCAGTGATGGCATAGGCTGCAGTGAAGCTGCAGTGGGTTGCCATAAGCTACCATGTGTGGCTGGCAGCCAGCGTGAGCTGCCAAGAGCTGCCGTGAGCGGCCGTTCAGTGGCTGGCGACTGGTCTGCCTCACCCGGGAAGAGCGCAATGATAATACCAACATGGGC